AGATGTGGTCGGGAGAGACAGCACATGACTATGACCAGCTTAAGGTATTTGGTTGCCCTGCATATTATCATGTTAGAACTGATAAGTTAGAACCTCGAGCTAGGAAGGCCATATTTATAGGATTCAAGCATGGTGTCAAGGGATACAAGCTTTGGGATCCAGTTGATAAGAAGATTGTGCTGAGTAGGGACGTCACATTCGATGAGGCTTCTATCTTGAAGCTTCTCAGCTCTCATCAGGTGGAGAGCGACCCGACAGAGGAGATTTCACAGGTGGTGGGATTGATGCAGTTCCACAGAGTCCAGATAGTGCAGTATCCATTAGAGTGCCGACTGAGGTGACGCCAGGCGAGCACGACGGTGATGCGGAGGATACGGGTACTCATGAGCAGGATCAGGGACCGACGGCTCAGGTTCAGGATTCTATTGCGGCACGGAGACAGAGGAGAGACATACGGGTGCCAGCACGGTATGCCAACACAGTTGCATATGCACTTCCGGTGGAGAGTTACATTCAGAGAGGCCGAGCAGAGTTTGGAGGCTGATTCGTGGCAGGTGGCTATGCAGGAGGAGATGGAGTCCCTTCATAAGAACCATACATGAGAGCTTGTTGAGCTTCCAAAGGGGCGGAAGGCGATTGGGTGAAAGTGGGTGTACACGAAAAAGGAGAGCATTGAGGGCACTCCAGTGAGATTCAAGGCTAGGTTGGTTGCGAAGGGCTATGCACAGGAGGAAGGTATTGATTACAATGAGGTTTTCTCTCCAGTGGTGAAGCACTCTTCGATTCGGATTTTGCTAGCTTTGGTGGCACAGTATGGTTTGGAGTTAGATCAGTTGGATGTGAAGACAGCATTTCTTCATGGTGATCTTGATGAAGAAATATATATGACTCAGCCATTGGGATTCCGAGCTGCAGGGAAAGATAAGTTGGTTTGCAGGTTAAAGAAATCGCTATACGGTTTGAAGCAATCTCCTCGACAGTGGTATAGGCGATTCCATGGTTTTATGCTTGGTCATTCATACACTCGGAGCCAGTTTGATCCTTGCGTGTATTTTCGCAAGTTGAGAGGAGGTGCGTACATTTATTTGTTGCTTTATGTCGATGACATGTTGGTTGCCTCTAGTTCCAGGTCAGCTATAGATGAGTTGAAAGTTCAGCTTTCGAATGAGTTTGAGATGAAGAACTTGGGCGAGGCGAAGCGCATTTTCGGGATGGAGATCGGCAGAGACAAGAAGAAGGGCAAGATTTGTTTGACACAGGTGGCTTATTTGAAGAAGGTTCTACAGCGATTCCATGTTAGCATGGATACGAAGCCAGTTGGTGTACCTTTGGGAGCCCATTTGAAGCTTTCAGCTGGCCTTTCACCGAAGTCAGTTGAAGACCGTGAGTTGATGACGAAGACTACATATGCGAGCGCAGTTGGGAGCTTGATGTACGCGATGGTATGTACGAGGTCGGATTTGTCACAGGCGGTGAGCATGATGTCGAGATACATGCACGATCCAGGAGTGCCGTGAGATGGATTTTGAGGTATATTCGAGGTACGCTCAATGTTGGTTTGGTTTATGAGCGGGACACTACAGGTGGGCAGTTGTGCATTGGATATGTTGATTCGGATTATGCCGGGAATTTGGATAAGCGTCGGTCTACTACGGGATATGTGTTTACTTTGACCCGTGCGCCGGTGTGTTGGAGATGCACCTTACAGTCTACGGTGGCTTTGTCTACGACGGAGGCAGGGGATATGGCAGTTACGGAGGCTGTGAAGGAGGCTATTTGGCTTCGAGGACTTCTGGAAGAACTTGGTATATCGCAGCGATCCGTCACTATTCATTGCGATAGCATGAGTGCTATATATTTGGCGAAGAATCAGGTTTTTCATGCGAGGACGAAGCACATTGACGTTCGTTATCACTTCGTTCGAGATGTTCTTGAAGATGGCGATGTGGAAATTGTGAAAGTCCACACGAAGGATAATCCGGCAGATATGCTCACTAAGGTGGTTCCGAGCAACAAGTTTGATCATTGTCGAAACTTGTTACACATTCGTGATTGTTGAGGCCGTTGACGGCCATTTGGATGAACTACGGGCAGCTTGATCCCTTGGGAGAGGGGGTACGTAGACAACCACATTGGTGCAGCCGAGTTTAGAGAGACGACACATTGGTGCTCATGTTGGTGTCGGCTCACACTTCGCTGAGGTGGAGAATTGTGAAAACGGCGAAGGAATTGTGAAAAATGTGAAGAATAACCCAAAACAGACTCCACCACACCTTGGTGTGGTGTCTGCCATGGGTGGTAGAATCTGTCCTGCACTACACCCTCTGCCACACCCACGGTGCAGGGTGTGGCAAAATTTGTCCTGCACCACACCCTCTGCCACACCCATGGTGCAAGGTGTGGCAGACTCGTTTTTAGAATCCTCCTTTGTATGGGAATCCTCCTTTGTTTGGGATTGTGTTTTATTATAAATAGGACCACGATTTTTAAGGAGAAAAAAGGAGAAAAAAGGAGAGAAAAGGAGAGAATTAGCATTGTTTTGAGCACTTTGAGAGGGAGATATTGTGAGGGAGTTGAGAGCTTTGGTTAGGGTTATATTTGAGTGATTTCGTGAGTTGTAACCCGTTGTATTTCTCCTCCATATAGTGAAATCTCCCCATCCTCTCCCCGTGGACGTAGGCAAGTTGCCGAACCACTCACGTGACCATAAATAGAGGCTGGCATCTGAAGTTATTTACATGCAAGGGGCTAGAAAAAGTATCGATAATCTTCTATGCTTCAATTGATGGATCCATTGGCATGTCTGGGTTCAAACTCTATTTTTGAGTTGAATTGCGCTCTCTTTTGAAAGTTGATGAGAACCCCAACAACGTCGTCTTCTAATTTGAACCAAAGCCTATTTGAAGGACTTTGTATTTGTCCAACAAAACTAGGGGTATAACCTTAAGATCTCAAACCAAAAATGTCCAAATCTATGATCCCAAACCATCTTGATCCTTCTCAATCAATAATCAAGCCAGATAAACCTGTCACTGTCTGTGTTCGTTTTTTCAGATCAGAGCATGCTTTTTTTTTACTTTCTTCACTTCGATTCTGCCCGGAGCAAGCCATCAAATCCCTGAACACGAAAGGAATGGATTTGACATCTGAAATCAAATCCGAGCATGGTTTCAACTGATCCGTTGTGTTCTCCAAGCACTAGGACCGGGAGGTACGTCAAGCACAAGCATGTTTTCCAAATATCAAATGTGTAAAATGAAGCCAAATCAAATGTAAACAGGGCTAGTTTGCTCTTGGTTACTATGC